TCTCTCTCTCTCTCTCTCTCTCTCTCTCTCTCTCTCTCTCTCTCCTCAAACACACTCAAATAGTATATTGTAATTCCGACTCACTCAGCCTTGAGCCAACTGACAACTGACGTCACCATCTTCCTGCTCACCAGGAGAGGTTCCTGTTCTTATACACACATACACACGCACACGCGCACGCACACACACACTCACACACGTTCGGTACTTTCGTAACTTAAAAGTGTTTGATTACACGTTGATAGTGTTGCGTGTTGCCAAAGCAAATAGAATGAATCAATTAATGAAGGGAAGTGTACTTATTTATTCTGGCAATTGAACAGAATAAAATCATATGTATCATTGGCCTTCAGTTTAATTGAAATATCACGTTTTTTTTGATTTACTTTACTCGTCTTAATTGTTTTACTTTATTTTTTTATATCTGGCATTGCAGCCTAGACATTCTTCAAACTGGATTAACTGTTCTCATACAATTTGAAACATATAATTTGCTGCAAGATACAAAAAAAAAATCATACACCAGCTAAAAATACCAGGTGATTAACTAGCGTCTCAGAACCACAGAGTGAGGGAATTCCAAAGATTGTCTATGTTTGAGAAACAAACTCATGTGGTTGGACAAAATCACCTATCCAGTGAAGCACCTGACCTCATGCTCACAATCATTCCCACAGTGTGACAAACCATGGAATTATTGGTAACCAGACAAAAAAAATAGCATAGAAATGAATTGGGTCTATTACTCTGACTGTTGATAGAGAACCATTTTGAACAAGGAAATAACACGGAGGCGTCCTCAGTTTGAGAAGAACTGTGTGCGTGACGGAAGTCAGATCTGTTTCAACCAACTCTGCACTATGGACTGTCCTGATTATCATGTGGCTCAAAGGCCATGTCAACAATCTGATGTGTCCTTTAAATCTTGCAATTGACAGGAAAACGTTGCATCTTTAAGGGGGCACTCCACCCATTTAGTGTTGCACTTCCATACATTTACGAGGGACAAATTAAAAAGAGAACGGTGAAGGTCTAGGCTGCATTGGGCAACCTCCATCTCGTATCCCCTCTTTCGAAAGATTTGGTCGGTAAATGTCCTGGTATCCAGTTTGTAACACAGTCTTTACATTTTTTATTTTCCAAGCCTAACCCGAAATAACCCTGCTGACATCACCAGAGTTATTTCATAGAATCAGCAAGTAAATACATTTTGATACCCGGTAAACGAGACAGAGTGAGATGCTGTTTCCACCTCTCTGATTTAATCTCCCGACACCTCCTTCGCCCCGCCTCCCTCTTTGAAACGTCAACAGCGCCAAACTTCAGGCTCCCTCACGGGAAGATGACCACTGGTGCCGAGGAGCCGCAATGGAGGAAAGTCCATTCCGTCGCAGGAGTGGTACCGCGGTCCAGACACGGACACCGAGCTGCTGCTATACGGGAGCTGGTTGTTGTGTTCGGTGGTGGAAATGAAGGGATAGCGGAGGACCTCCATGTTTACAACACTGGTAGGCTAACGCTAGCGGCTAATGTTTTTAGCATGCGCAGGGGTCAAAAAGACCCACCCCGGTCTTTTTCCTTGTGTGGTTCCTATGTTCCTTTCTATCTCTTTGACAATTTTAGCATAATTTCGGCATTACGGGTTTTCTTTGCGCAAACTAAACGCTAACTTGAGCTGGATATCGTAACTTAAGCTGAATAGGTAGCGTCAGTAACGTTAAGTATTTCCCCCCGAAATATAACGTTACTCGTTCCGTTAGCTCACTAGCTAATTGTTACATTAGCAGGCAACGCTGAATGACGAGCCAAACACATTTAGCATACTAGCAGTAACACTATGTCATGTGTTTGGTCAGTGCAGCATTAACTGAAAAAAATAATATCTTTAATGAAAAAAGTGTGACAAAACAACACAGTTGAGCGTGACACCGGTGTTTGTATTTAGGTTTAAATGTGTTACGTTTAACACGTGTGTATTTTGGGTGTGTAATTTAGACTGCTCTACACGATCTTGTCTAAATTAGGTTATGGAGGACATTGTGCATTCAAAGCCATTAAATGCACTGCTATTAGTATTAAAAGTCCTCTTCATGTGGTGACGCTGTGTTTAGGGTAATATTTATCTTAGCTACTACATAAATAGCTCTGTTTTTAAGGGTTATTGAGTTCGAACAGGTTTTATAAAATGTCTGAACAGCAGCATTCACCAGGATATTCTGTCTAATAGAATATCTGACATCTGCTCATCTTCACAGTCTCAAAGCAGTGGTTTCTGCCTGCAGTGAGGGGTGACATCCCACCCGGCTGTGCTGCCCATGGCTTTGTCTGTGAAGGCACCCGAATACTGGTCTTTGGCGGCATGGTGGAGTTTGGGAAATACACTAACAGCCTCTATGAACTTCAGGTAATGCCGTCACAGTTCTTCAGTCGTGATTCCAACCCAGTTGCTCTGGAGAAGAACATTTTCAAATCTTGACTTTGGTCCCGTGTGGCTCAGGCTAGTCGCTGGCTGTGGAAGAAGCTGAAGCCCAGAGCCCCCAGGAACGGTCTGCCTCCCTGCCCTCGGATTGGACACAGCTTCACTCTTGTGGGTAACAAGTGTTACCTGTTTGGAGGGCTGGCCAATGATAGTGAAGACCCCAACGGCAATGTAACAAGGTACTGTGTAAATACACACAAGAACAGTAACATTTAATAAAGGGTTTGTTAACACTGGGGTTTTAGTGAATCCTAAAGGCAGGGCAGACTGGTTGTTTGTGTCTGATTAATCTGCAGATTATATTTTTGATTGATTTAATTTGTGAAACAATAAAAGATGTGGAAACCCAAATATATTGATTTCACAATGATATGTGACAAAGAAAAGATGCTTCTCGAGACTGGTATTTTTCACAATTTCTTCTTGCAAAATGACTGAAATGATTGATTGATTATCATTAATTATAACTTTTAAATTAGGGTTAAATCCAGAATGAGCTTTGAGTGACTTGTTGATGCAAATCCACAATTCAGTGAAACCAGCGTGGAGACGATTCATTTTGATATTTAACCTCTATGAAGATAGTTTCATCAATGAGTTGGACCTTTTTTTCCATCCTAGATACATGAAGGACTTCTATGAGCTGGAGCTGCAGTCGCTGTCGGGGGCAAGAGGCTGGAGCATCCCAGAGACCAAGGGTGGCGGTCCCTCAGCGCGGGAGTCCCACACCTCGGTTGCCTACACTGGCCTCGGCTCCCCGAAGCTCTTCATCTTTGGAGGGATGCATGGACGACGGTTAGACGACCTCTGGCAGCTCGACCTCGGTAGGGTGTTGTTGTTTTTGACAGATTATATTGACTATCTGCAAGTTTCAGAAAGGAAATTTAAACATTTGACATCCTTTATTTGCTGCTGTACCTTGAATTTAATACAAAACTGTGGTCGGCTAGGCTTATTTGCATATTTGCATGTTGTGTGAAACAATTCTCTTTAATATTTATATTTCCTTATCATTGTCCTTTTCCTTTCTTCAGACACAATGGTTTGGTCGACGGCTGAAACCAGGGGCTCCACGCCACTTCCCAGAAGCCTTCACTCTGCCAGTGTCATTGGAAACAAGTGAGAGATCTGTCATCATCGGTGTCATATCTCTGTTACAGCAGATGTCTATGTTGTATGTGACACCTGACCTGGCGAGCCTCGACAAACTACTGTGCCCTTCTGTCTGCAGGATGTATGTTTTTGGTGGCTGGATTCCTGTGCCAGAGTCAGACAAACACAATGCTTTAGGAACTGAATCCATCTGCAGTGACTCTTTAAGTGTACTAAACTTAGGTCAGTACATTTCTCTATAAATATCCCACGCTCTTGTCAGAGTTTTCAAGCAGGGTGAAGCCCTGGAGAGCATCATTCTGCATCATTCAGAGGCCAGCAAGTTCACTTCTGCCCTGCTCTCCTGTCACAGACACTATGTGCTGGCAGAACCTGGGCCCAGAGCAGCAAGACAATGTCGAGTCCCAGCTGCAGAGCCAGGGACCCCAGAGTGACGACCAGTACGCCTGTCGGCCCAAAGCCAGGGCCGGCCACTGTGCTGCCACTGTCGGGTCCAGGCTTTACATCTGGAGCGGCCGTGACGGATACCGTAGGAGCTGGAACTACCAGGTCTGCTGCAAGGACCTCTGGTACCTGGAGACAGGTGAGGACTGAGAACTAGCTGTTAAGAGAGGCTTCAAGCGATCCATCGATCACTGAAGCATTGTTTATTTTGATTGCTGTATTTTCTAAAGCAAATTATGTCAGTGTTAAAAAAAAAAGCTACAGTTCCTCAATATATTCAGTTTTTTTGTCCTCAGGTCGACCAGCCGCCCCAGAGGCAGCCTTACTCATCAAATCCACAGTCAGCATGCTTCATGTGGCGTGGCGCCCCCTGGCGGCAGCAGACCACTACATTCTTCAGATCCAGCCAGCGCCTCCACCAGCCAAACCAGCCCATCCAACTGGAACAGATGGACTGGACACTAAGGGGAAAGACTCTGCAGGTATGGAGAGTGCATATATTCAGCTGTCTGAAAGAATCCGTGGCATGTTTATCAGGGTGAGCAACTTTCTGAGATTCGTGGCACTACGGTGACATTTTGCCTTCTCTCCTTTCTCAGGTGTGCAGTCTCTTCAGCCTCAAACTGGAGGAACCTCTAATATAGAGGCATCAGCACAGGTAGATGTGACTTACTGAACAAAGCTTTAGGTTATTACATGTTGGAACACACCCCTGTTTTATCATCAGATATGCTGAATGGTATATTTGATCTAGCAGCAGAGATGTCGGTACTTTTTCTTTCAGATTGAACTTGAACACATCATGATGTTGTTTTTCCATGAGCATGTTTAGAATGGTTTCATCAGAGAGATGAATTCAAAAAGCAACCTACTACTACTACTACTACTGCATTGTTCCGTATTAGATTTAGATGTGAGTCTCTATTCTGAGCCCTGATCCCTAATACTGTATTTTGGAGGATCCCTCTCAGTGAGCACACTTTCAGCACAGTTTCTTGTGCTTTGATTTCCTCTCTGAATTTCAGGATGCTTCAGCGGTGCAGGAAACTGTGGCAGAATCGGCCAATGGCTCAGCAGAGACCAAAGCACAAAGAGGGATGAGTGCTGGGAGGGAGACAGAGAAGGACTCTGACACACAACGCTGCGGTACGTCTTGTTTTCAGGGGATTATGTACTGGATGATTCTTGTACTTCCACAAATGTAATTGTCAGAGACAATAAAAGATGCACTAGGCATGTTTATATTAATACAGCTGCATCAATAAATGTATTACCCCAGTTCTAGAGACCTTGCTCTACTCCCCACTAGGGATGGGTATCGTTTGGGTTTTTTCCAATACCGGTGCCTGAACCGATACTTTTTTCTTCAAATTGAACAATATATTAACTGTTTAAAGTATACTATAAATATAAATAAATACAAAACACTTGGCTTCAAACTTTTTAACTTCAAACTATGAACAATATATTAACTGTTAACAGTTTACAGTATACTTAGATAAATATAAATAAATACAAAACACAAACACTCTGTACACACACTACAGCTTCAAACTTCAGCAATTATTTTGCAGAAATATGAGCATATTTGCCTTCTCTGGCAAAATACGACACCTCTCCTGACTAATTTTATTTTATTTTATTTATTTTACCAGTTGGTGGCGGTAATGCGCCAATTCATCGTTTGCCAACCGCCACTACACCTCAAAGAAGAAGAAGAAGGTTTCACGTACCTGTGGATGTTGTGTTTATGAGCGGCAGCGCTAAGTACCCGGATGTCGATGGAGGAAGTCGGTAGCCTGCCAGCCGTTTGACAGATCTCGTTCTCGTTTTTTTTAATAAATCATGGCCGAAGCTTCGCCAGAATGATGGAGGGGTTTGTTTCTAAGTTTGTTTTTTCGCGCACAGCTTGTCCGGTTGTAATAATACTATGAGTGAGGAGCGGAGGACCGAGGCTATCGTTACCTGCTGCCAGGACGGAGTCAAAGTAGTGTAAAAAAAGTATTTCAATCGGCTCAGGCACCGAAAGGAAGCACTGAAATCCGCGTTGCGCTTCGGTCCGGTAGATACCGGTCGTATAGGAACCGGTGCCATATTGGCACCGGGTTTCGGTACCCAACCCTACTCCCCACACAGTGTTTGAGTTGCCCTCGTCAAATAAGACGTGTCTTGTTGTGTTGGTTGTAGGTGCCGGACAGGAGACATCAGCAGCAGAGGTCAGCAGCTCAGCTCAGCACCAGACGGGTAAAGACGATGCTCAAATGTCAGCGATGAATCAGATGGCATCCCTCTGTTATGGGAAGGTTACTGTGGACTTTCCTTTGTTTTTACAGAGTCTCAACCTGTTTCAGCTGACAAGACAACAGACTTCTACGCCCATACACATCAGGTGAGATTAGGGCGGGGTGATATGGTGTTTAAATGATACATCTATATTTGTGGCTGTGTTGCGATATTTTCACATATTCTCGAAAACACTTTAATTTAACCCGTTGATGCTTAATCAAAGATTATTCTAGCAAGCTAATCTGGCAGAAGTCAAATTTTGTTTTAAATTGACATCACATTCACAGGAAGATCACTTTTATGTTGAAGTGAGTTCTAACATGCTCTTACCGTAATGCCTAGTATATATACAGTACGTACCGCAAAACAACGTGGGGGTTAGTTTGACTGTTCTTTTGTTAGTGGAGGCTGTCATCCTCCTTCACTGTTTCCGACCTCGACACGTATAAACTCGCTTTGGCTCTCTTTCCCTGTTCCCTCCAAATATAAAAACATGCACGCGATACACACATTCATGCTCATACAGCATGCACACTCACCCAGGACAGTGTGTGTGTGAGGGGCAGGGCCGCGGGAGAACCAAAACATCGAGTCTCAGGCGTGAAGTGAAAGTTAATATTTGTACTGGATGTTTGCGATATGGTCATTAACTACATCCCACGGGGAACGAGCCACAATACATGGAGTGTATTCAGTATATCCTCCCCCCTTAATCGTTTCCCCTCAGAACAGTAATTATTAGCTCTCTTGGCTTCATCCTAACTAAGACTCTAAACTCCTCCTGTCCAGCAGAATCCAGACGAAGCTGTGTGGTTTGATGTTGGTGTGTTCAAAACACTCTTCTCTGAGGTCAGCCACTACTTTCTACCTGCTGACAGTGACCAGGCGACTGCAGCCATCAGCAGCCGGCCGCCAAACACTAAAGAGGTAAAAAGAAACAACCTTCATACCATAATACATGGTGGGTCTTGATTGGGTCTCCATGAAGATGCCAGTCATCCCTTTCTTCTCACCCACACATCCTCATCGGTTCTTCCTCCAGAGAAAGCTTCCAGGGCCTCAGGACTATGAGAGCAGAGAGAAGCAGGAGCTGGCTCCGGGTCAGACCTACAGGTTCAGAGTGGCAGGCATCAACTACTTTGGCCAGGGAGACTTCAGTCCCGTCAGCGAGTTCAAGACCTGCCAACCTGGGTTCCCTGGAGCGCCCTCTGCTGTCAAAATAACCAAGGTGACATATCAAAGATATTTAAACTGAAAAGCTGTTGATAAAAAAAGGAGTCGGTGTTGTCTTCATTTTTTCCCTAATAATCCTTCTTCTGCACAGGCCAATGATTCCGTCCACATCACATGGGAGGCTCCCCCCTCTCCATCAGGCCGGATCTTGGAGTATTCCATGTACATGGCGGTAAGGAAGAGCCGCTCCACCAGCTCGGAGCGTCCGGGTCAGATGTCCTTCATCAGGATCTACCGCGGCAGCAAGACGTCCTGCTCGGTCGGCTCCGCCCACCTGGATAACGCCCAAATCGACTGCTCGGCCTCCAACCGGCCGGCTGTGGTCTTCCGCATCGCTGCTAAGAATGAGCAGGGCTACGGCCCGGCGACGCAGATCCGCTGGATTCAAGGTGGAGGAGTGTTCTCAGTTTCTGCTCATTTTTCACATGAAATAGTTTGTTGTGGTCAGATCCCAACTTGACTCGACCTCCTGTTTCTGTCTTTTTAGATTTCAATAAATTGCGAGTGTCTGCATCCAAAGCCGACGGCAATGCTGAGGCCGATCAGGATGCTGCTGACAGGTAACCACAGTGACCACTCATGATTCTATTCATTTTTACTTTCTAGATTGGATTTTTTTTTATTGAACTGTCTCTCACTTTCTCTTTTTTTCTTGCAGCTCCAGTTGAAAATGTTCGGAGCTATGACACCGTGTTTTGGAGAAGACGATGTGTGCACTCAGGAAGTTGGCAAAGTACCCCAGTCAGATGTTGTATATTTCCCACAGATGGTTATGTTAATTTATTTTTTTTATGTATTAGTACCGTGTAAATAGATTTCCACAGTAAGTTTCACCACGTGGCTATTTTAAAAAATTGTTTTGTTAAGTAATAATATGTAACTACAAGCAGGATCTACTCCATCAGCCACTGATGCTTTATAAAGTATGTCGTGGTTTTGAATGAAACACAGATGGTTCAATGTTTTCAGGACCAGGACGTCAGAAAGGAAGTATTTCTTTGGCATGGACCAATTTTAAAATCCAATTTACACAGTGAGGCTATAAAATACCAGTTGTGTCTACAGCGAATGTTACTGTTGTTTTACAATCGGATCATTTACTATCATTCAGGTTTGGTTTAAGATCTTTGTTGATGTGTTTTGTTAATGTACACATATGTTACTACAAACATTTTCACTCTATTACATTGCTGCATCACATTTATTTGTTTGATTTTGTAGCATTTCTTTTATTATCAATGCCATCAGATTATTCACATTACACATTTGTTTTACAAGTTTAAGTCAGAAAAAAAAAACTAAATGTTGCTGACTGAAACCAAAGAGCAAAGCACTACTTGCGTTTCTGATATTAATTAAAGTAGCAAAAATGCCACAGATGTTACAGGAAGAGATCTACTTGTTAACACTATTGTTGTCTCTGGTTTGACCAGCTCACCATTTAGTGGGCAAGAAGTATACTATTATTATCTTCCCTATCCTCCTCCATCATATCTGAACATGTGGACAGATTGTTCACTGGACCTCACATCATTGAGACCAGTGCTGCATCTCGTCATGTTCTTGCTATAAAAAAAAGCCAACAGGTACTTCCAGAGAACAACATTTCTCTTCTTGTATAAAAATAACTAGATTTAACTTGCAGGTTGAAGAAGATATGCACAAGTATTGTTTAGATTTAACATTCTACATCGAATTTAGCTGTAGACTCATTATTTCCCTTAAGACTTTTATTGATTCCTGTTTTGAGTCTTTGTTGTCCCCAAGAGTACAATTTACTCGTACTACCCACAGATTATCATTTTAGATATAGTGTGTGTGTGTGTGTGTAATGCAGCTTACTATGTTCTCATTGGGGACAAATTCAATTGTAAACAGAGACCTATGAAACATTATGGCCTGCATTTGGCTTTTTAATAGCAGTAACCAAAGCATTTAACAAAAAAGTGTTTGTGGGGAAAATCATTTCTGGCAGTGTTTATGGTCTTGTTGAAGCCAAGTCTAATTTTATATAAACCGAGCTTTTGTTATGCAATATTCCCAAATGTATATGAGTAATTATTGTTAAGAAGTGCAAGAATAGCTGTATTATCTGTAGTATTTGCTGTATGTAACGATGAGTGAGCAGCTTAATTGGCTGGCCTGTCAAGCAACTGGTGGGTGTCCAGCTGTGAACTAATACCTGTTAAGATGGAGTTCAACAACAGTTTATTAAGGCCCCTCAGAATTACTGAGGTAACGTTAAATGTAGATTAGTCCCTGGCTGATTTCCACATGCATGAAGTGAGCAGGTGTGTTTACTTTTGGGTGGATATAACTTGACTTTTGTTCACTTCTCTGTGCCATTGACTGTAATATTAGAAGTCTATGCACTTAAAAATAAGCTAAAATACACAGATATGCTCACTTTGCTAATTGAGTAACTATTGGTTACTCAAATTTGGTTAAATAAATATGAAGGACTAGTTAGTATATGCTGAGCATATTCAGTGCATATAGGTGATGTATTAGTTACGATGGAGTGGTGCAAGAAGCAGTCCTAAAACCCGAAAATAAGGTAGCATTTTTGCACTTCCGGTTCCCTCGTGTTTTAAATGATATATATGTGGTTAACACAAGTTTAAGATATTTAAATGTTTTGTTTTACGATGATAAATATGTCGGCAGAAAACTATTTTTTAACTTCTAAGTGTATTAAAAAAGGCGATCGCTAACAAGTGGCTAAATGAGACTACAAAACGCCATGACGTCGATAAGTCTGCCCCCACTGCCTTCATTGTTTATACTCGCGCTAATGCGACCGCGTTGTAGTTTGTTTTTAGCCTAACATTAGTTTGTTTTTGTTTTTTTACTTCGCTTCAGAAATTAATAAAAGTGCAGTTCATTTGTGGAAAACTATCTCGCTGGTCAAAACGTGTACGTATCATAAACTTGTGTTTTCCACAGTGCTTTTTTACTACAATAGTCCCAAATCGATTTCCCTAATGTCAAGTAAACCAGTGCGACGCTAACTTCCGGGGTTGGCCTCCAAAATGTCATAATTGCGCGACTCTACAGTAAGTAGCGGGTAGTTATAAACTATACGGTTATATATATAAGTACACATCAAAATATATATAGAGCCAGTATGAACGTGTTGATTGAAATAGACGTTTGATAAGGTTTGTACGGTATTTCTTTAACGAGAGAAATGCACTTTAGGAAAACATTCCCATGATCCCCCAGTTTGTAGTCTAAAGATTAGCAACCTAGCGCCGGTTAGCAAAGCAAACAGACAGAAAGTAGGAAAGAAAGCTCTAAATTCAACAAAAGGTAAGTAGCTTTCAGCAATCAACTGATAAAGTCCATACATTAAATGACTATTGTTTATTACTACTTTATAGTGTCGTAATTCATTCTTTGTAACCCAAATATGCTCTGAATGTACACAGCTGTACGTTAGCCATGTTTTCAAACTGAAGTTCCTATTTCCGGTTTAGCTGACCGTGTAAGTTAGCTAGTCGTTCACGTCGCTCATTATTTAGTTTGAATAGTAGTTATGTTTGCATTTTCATTGAGAAAAAAACGTCTCAAACATAGCAACAATTTCTTGTTTAAAGTGCATTGTCATGCCTCTGCAAGGAAAATGTCAAAGGCAGCGAGTGTCCAATAACAGACGCACTATGGTAGCTAGCTAGTTAGCATATCGTTATATGAGAGCGCGTTATTTAAAAACAACTCAATGCTCTTGACCAATTTCAAACATTAGTTTGACATTTTTACAAGCCCACTTTGTATGCGTATGTCTGGTGTAAGTTAATTTAGGTTTAATTTAACGCTGCAAGAGGTATAAACAAACAAAAAGTACACAGTAAGTTAATGTTGAATAACGTTTTTCCGATTTTGTTTTGTGGCGCTTATAACTACCTAGCTTTATTTATTGAACTGTTTTATCTTTTGTCTGCTTATGAAACTACACATTATTATTATGTTAGTTTATTCTCACAGAATGACATTGGTCTAACATTTACCTCCAGAGATAGATTTGATGCTTGATGTTGTTAAAAGTGTTTATTAGTTGCGTATCCACAGCAGACCTACAAGTTAGGGAATGGAGCTAACTAATCACTTGAGATTGATTCAGAGCCTTGTCTTGATTGCTAAGAGGTTGTGATTCGACAAGTAGCTGGGAGACGCCTCTCAAAGCCACCATGGTAACTAACTGACAACAAAGCCAGGAATCACTTTGGCCCTTTAAGAGCACCTCTCCACACTTGGAGAGAGTACAGTCAGTTTTTGTCACTGTTAAGAACAGAGAACACACTATTCATTTTTTGTTGTTGAATACACACAGCAATTCCTTCGCTACGTTCATCCAGCTTTTCTTTATCTCTGTCTGTCTCTTTGCTGCAGAGGTGAGATGGCCTCCTCCAACCTCGGCCAGTTGACACCTATCCTCCCAAACCTGGAGCCTGGGATGGGGAAGTCGGCAGCCGTGCTGGGCTTCTCTGCCGGGCTGGGAGGAGCAGAGATGGAGCTGCACAAGATGCTAATCGATGAGAGGATGAAGTGCGAAAACCACAGGACCAACTACCAGACGCTAAAGGCTGAACATGCCAGGTAAATTTGATTAAAGATAAACTTGTTTTATATTGATGTATGATTTTTATATATGTATATAACATTTATGGTTGCAGGAGTAGAGAAAACATTTAAAATAAATAATTTCTCCATAACCATCAACAACAACATTGACATGGGCTATGATTTTATTGGGCAAAATCTGTAGTTATAACAAAGTGCACTTAATTCTGTTCGTCACCGTGCACGCTTTCCCATGTCGTTGTGGTATCTGTGGGTACTGTGCTCACTCTGTCCTGGTGTTAGGGACGGGATGATAAAGGGTTTTATTGCAGATCAGGATATAAAGAAAAACACCCAATAACATTTTCAAGTAAGAAAAAAAACATACAATGTTGCTACTTTAAAAAAATTAAATGATCCTTTATTTATACTGGCCAGTGGGACTTTATGATTTATGATGACCTCATTTAAGATATTTTAATTGTTTTTCACCCAAAAATATGTTTTTCATTTAAAAAGAAGTGCATCCCATCTGTGAGGCAAACAATTATTTATTTCTTAACCGTATGTAAGGTGAAGTAATTCCAGAATGCTTTAGTGACATTTTAAGAGTTTTATGCACATTTAGATGATTGTTGGAATAATGTAGTAATTCGGTAAAAAAAATTTGGCCATAATAATCGTGACATGAAAGCCTCCCATGTCTACCTGGTGTCTTTCTTGCAGCTTGCAGGATGAGTTCACCCAGGCGCAGGGTGAACTGAAGCGTCTGCTGAGCGACAGACAGGCACAGCAGGAGAAGCTGCTGTTGGCGGAGCTCCGCGGAGAACTGCTGGACAAAACCAGGGAGCTGGAAGAGCTGCGACTGCAGGTAAACCACGACACCACGAAACAATCTTCTGCTCTTTGATTGTGACCAAACCTCCTTTGGCATGAGGGGTTACGTTCACAGATCAAAACAAAAGGACACTTCTTGATTTCTGTTACATTAAAAAAAAAAATATCTCTGCAACTTGACTTCCCCTGACTTTCTCAAAACAAATGTGTGTGTGTGTGTGGACCAGGTGATGACCCCTCAGCGGCAGGAGTTGCTCAGAGCTCAGGTGCAACAGGAGATGGAGGCTCCAGTCAGAGAGAGGTTCAATAAACTGGAGGAGGTCAGTCCGTTTGTGTAGCTCAGTGATGTGTGACATAAGTGCAATACATTTACATTGCCCATATGAGAGAGAGAGAGAGAGAGAGAGAGAGAGAGAGAGAGAGAGAGAGAGAAAAAATACTGGTGTCATTGACAGTTGTTACCCATCTACTTATATTTTATGTTTAGTGTACACTTCTCCATGTCATTATGGATGTCAGACATGAATATGCTAATTGATTTTTAAGGATTAATTCCCGGGGGAAACTTAAATGACTGCATATAGGAGTCAGTATGATAGACATGTAATGAAATGCAGCACTAATATAAAACAATAAACAGTAGGATAATGCTAAATAGATTAATGTTCTTTCATGTTGACTGTTGTGGATTATGTCAAAATGGAATTTGTTGTTAAAAATGTACATGGACAAAAAGGCCTTATCTTTTAATACCTGCTGTAAATCGGTGTCAGCTGTGGCTTTTAAGTTCAGAGCAAGGGTTCTTTTTTTTGGTTTGTCTTTGTCAGTGTTTATTGATTGCTGTCGTGATGTAAAGATCATTTCAACAATTATAACAAAATGCTTTTTGACGATCATTTGAAAGCTAATTTCCATTTCGTCTGCTCGATGGCTCCTGCTCTCCTCCTCACTGATTTTTGGGGTAATTTGTGTTCTCGTGTTTCTTTGTTTCAGGAGACTGAGAAGTACAGGTCTGAGTACAACAAGCTGCGGTATGAGTTCACCTTTCTCAAGTCCCAGTTTGACCACCAGAGAGAAGAACATGCTCACATGCTGGAGGAGAGGAGGATCCGCTATGAAGCAGAGGTATGTTTGTTGTTCGGTTGCTCAGCATTTGGATTGTAGTTGTGGTGGTACACTGATTTCTAAAGAAGATACTAAATAAAATGAACTCCTGCTGTTGTCAGATCTCTCGTCTGGAGAAGGACCGAGAGGACCTGGTGGCTCAGTACCAGGGTTCAGACACACTGCGTGATGGGAAACGAGTAGAGGCCCTGCTGAGGGAGAAGGCCCAGCTCCACCTGAGGCTGAAGGGCCTGGAGGCAGAGTTGGCCGAGCTTCGCGCCCAGAAAGACAACTCGGGCCAGCAGGCCGAGAGCGTCCAACGCATCCAGATCAGACAGCTAACAGAGTCTCAGGCTGCTCTGAAGTCGCTGGAGGTGAGACGGCAATAACTTACCTGACGCACTGGTTAGGATGAGCACATTTCATCTTGATGGATCCGATTGGTTGTTGTTGTGACAGGCGGAGCGTCAGTCGTTGCGTCTACAGCTGGAGCGAATGGAGAGCGAGCTTCATCTGACACACGAGCAGAACAGCCAGCTCACCGGACGACTGAACAAAGCTGAGCGAGAGGTCAACTCTCTCACCTGTCAGGTACACAGTTGTTTTAACACTGACCCCGTCCCTTTTTTCGACTTTAATATCATTACACAGCACTTTCTGGGCTTTTTGTCCATCCAGGATTTGTTTGCCTCCATAGTTTATGGTGTAAAAGAGCCAGTGTGTAGCATTTAGAGGGATGTATTGGCAGAAATGGAATATCTTATTAATAAGTATGTTCTCTTTAGTGTCCAATCACCTAAAAATGAGCGCGTTCTCTTCACGGAGCAGGCCACCGGGTTTCTACAGTAGCCCAGAACAGACAAACCAATCACAGGCTCTAGATAAGGCCGTTAGTGTTTCACGATTTCAGGTCGGGCACAATAGTTCTGCACACAGTAGTAATTTCAGTTGGTTGCAACCTCAACACCACATGGCGCCAATTCCTATACTGAAGCTGTAACAACATGAATTCTAGTGGTGTAACAGAGTAGCTGATCCCTGATCTGCCGATCGTTGATTGAAATTGGCTGATATTGTTTTATTTCCTAATCCTTTTGAACTGTGTGTTTTGATGCAAACAACTACAAAGTACAAAAATAACATTTGGCCGGTGAAATGATGGTGGGAAAAAAGTAGTCTTGAGCCTTGTACACTAACAATCTGTATAGATCAATAGGACTCATTGATAAACGGTAATCCAAAGTTTAATTTGCTGTGTAGTGTGTGGTCATGAATGGTGCCTCAAGTCCTGTCAGACCTAGCTGAACCTAAGATACTCAAATGATTCACTATCTACTTGTGGTTTGAAGTTGTCCAATCTGTCTTTTTGTGGTTCTCAGATTGACAGCCTGAAGCATTCACATAAACTGGAGGTGGCCAGCGTCAAACTGGAGTGTGCTCGCTCTAAAGGGGAGCTGGAGAGAGAGAGAGACGCACTGCACGGCCAGCTTGATGGTATGGATCTCACTCACACACACACACACACACACACTCTACAGTGAGAGGTGGACCGTGTTCTTAAAACATAACTGTTCTAGGGTAGATGGTGCACTGCTATGAATTTGACTATACTGTGCTGACCAATCGGCTGCCATAGACACAGGCCACGTGATAGCTTTACGTCGGTACACAGCCACACATACATGTCGGTAAGTGAAGAAGACTTAAAGTTCACAGTAAGTCGGGGAGGAACAAACCTAAGAGAGAGAAATATGACCAGTTTAGCTTCCCAACACTATCTCTAAGCAGCTTTTAATACATATTTAAAGTACTAATTCAAGTTTTCTTTTAATCTGAGCAAATAACCACTGTTGACAATAAGAAAAGTAAAAAGATGATACTTTTCTGTCGGTTTTCATTGATTTTGAGTTGGTTGATATTATGCCAGGCTGTAGCCATACAAGTGCGCCAACATTTTAAGAAAAAAAACACACACACAGTGATATATACCGTTAACGTCCATACCAGCCACGTTTCAGATTCTATGTAGCATTAGTCAACCTGTTTCCTTTACCCTCCGGTCCTCATGGGGACTCGTGTGTGTCAGGTCTGCAGACAGACGTGGAGGTGCTGAAGGCTGCGGTGGAGCGACACAAGGAGGTTCTCGTGGAGAAAGAGAGGGAGTTGGTCAGGAAGGTGCAGTCTGCCCGCGAGGAGGAGTTCCGCAAAACTGCAACCTTGCACGAGGAAAAGTGAGAATCACTTTCAGTTACTGATACGAGTCACCTGGTAGCAAGTCTTGCTTTGGAAAGATGCCCGGTGTTGAATTTAAATGCCTTGTTTTACAAAATCCAACAGATTGATTTATTTTCTTCCACTGTGCATCTCATCCTTCTGTCTTATTTCCTGTTGCTAGGTTGGAGGTGGAGAACCGCCTCGCTGCTCTGGAACAGCAGAGGGCTCTGCAGGACACTGCGGATCATAGCCAGAAGGAGGAATGGGAGGAACGTGTTCGCATCACCCAACAAGGAGAGGAGTCCGCTCGCAGGGAACTGCAGAACCTGAGGTCAGCTTTATACTGACTGTTACAAAATCTACACAGCTGCTCATTCTTTATATAATGAATAACTGTACATGTAGAGGCCACAGTTTAATCTCTTACACTGCTTCTAAATGGATTTCAGACTACTGCACATATCAGAAATCACTGTCTGTGGTGGTTAAAGAGTGTTTCTGTAGCCATACAATGTGTTGCAACCTATTGCACTAATTAAATAGTGTCAAGGTCAGACTTGTCCAGTTTTCTGCTATTTTTATTTAGTGAAAATCAGGACAAGTAATGTTGAAGTTGGTTTATGATCACACAAGAGAGAAATGAAAACTAGCTTTCCTTTGAAAAGGCTTTAATGAAAGTGTTCTTCTTACAGAAGCAAACTACAGCAGCAAAGCTCACATCTTGAGGAGCTTGAGAGACAGAAAGCAGAGATCGCTGACCTACAGCAGGTGAGTCCAAGTGTCATCTGTCCTGCAGCCGGCAAAGCCAGGGGAGTTGGCTGAAATAATAGTTTTGTTTGACCCAACAGCAGAACCAGGAACTGGGTGTCCAGATGGGGACGCTGGCTCACTCTGAAAGTGACTTGATGGAGACAAACCAGCGACTGAGAGAAACTCTGGACAGAATCAGGGAGGATCTCAGGACGGCCCGAACCCAGGCTGAGAGGAGCCAACACGAGGCAGAGAGGTACTGTACTGCCTCACGTTGGGTAGATTATTACAGCCATGAAGTCATGCATCTTTGAAATATGGCTTCAATTAAACCACCAGGCTGGTGGAGGACCATCGGGTTGAGTGGTTGGAGGAGAAACACAAGCTGCAGGAGCGAGACGCTGAGCTGCAGCAGAAATACTCTCTGGCCAAAGAGAAGCTGCAGAGGGCAGCAGCGGCCCAGAAGAAGGTACTGCTGCTCATACCGTCTTTAATTTCAGCAGTTTGAGAATGCATCATTACTTTCTTCATGCTACTTGGTGTCCCTTTGCAATATTGAAAAGGTCTGAGGAGAAACATACAGATAACTTGTGCGTGTGTGTTTTGCACAGAGAAAAACACTGACAGAGAACAAAGAGAAGAGGATGCAGGATAAGATTCAGTTGCGGGAGGCCAAGATAGAAGAGCTGGAGCTGGAAGCTACTGCAGCAAAGAAGTAAACTTCAAACCTTTCAGAAACTTTAGACGTGTTAAAGCCTACCAGTAAATAACCCAAATTAAAACTCCCCCTCTCTATCTAGACGTTCATCGTTCTCAGAGGAGCAAGTTCAACTTAACAGACGATTGAAGGAGCTGCAGCGACGACATAACGAGTTTCGGCGTCTCCTACTGGGTGGTCAGGGTACCTACAGCGCTGGCCCCACCTTCTTGACCCCCTCACCCACCCCCTTTGTTCTCCTCGGGTCTGAGGGGCCGTTAGCCAACATACCAGTAAGCAGAACTTTTTTCATCAGTCTGTAGATGGTGACAAAGTTGTGTAAATAGTTAAATGGTGACACTGAAAAACAGCAGTATTTTATGTTATGTAGAACATCTGGAGTTACAAATTAAATATCTGTTTCAATCACATGCTGATGTAACTCGGCACAACAACACTCAGGCTGTCATCATAAAACCTACAATCTGTAGAAGCAGAGCTGCTCCACCACAGTGAAACGCAGCACTATGGTATAACACGGTCTGCATACATGTAGCCAAAATTGCTGTTGTAACATTTGCTTGTTTCTCCTCCGTGCTGCAGGAGGAGCAGCATCAGAGGGAGCTGACCCTCCTCCGTCGGAGGCTGGAGGACCTGGAAAGCGCCCAGCAGCAGCAGCTGGAGGAACTGGGATCTCTGGTGCAGAGGGACCGGGACATTGCTTCCCAGCCTGACCTCTGACCTTTACACTTCTTCCCATTGACATGAAGCACTAGAATGGACTTTAATAACATTTACAGAATATCTTTTTTTTTTTTTTTTTATAAAAACTGATCACAACATCCTCAACTTTTGTATTGAGAGCACAAAAGCCACTGTGTGAGGGAAAGGTTTTTATATAGAGGAGTAGGCGCTGTGAATTGTACATAGTCTGTTGATGTAATTAAAAATGTTTTAACTTAAACTGTATTAATAGTCACTTTTTTTTCCTGACATCTGGATTCAATCCAACTGAACATGTATCAGACATATGACCGGTCAACAGTTACAAAAGTGCTTTCAGTAAAAGGTTCCTTCTTCACAGAACTGACAAGTGATGTGTGGCGACTGTGGCTAATCAGAGGATCGGCGGTTCAATCCCCAGCTCAGGCTCCATTCGATGTGTCCTTGAGCAAGACACTTAACTCCAAAAAAATAAAAATTGCTCCCGTAGCTGTGCCTACGGTGTGATAGAATCTGAATTGTAAGTCGCTTTTGCGAAATGACTAATGTAATGTGTGCCTCATCAGTATCTTCAAAAGTGGTTTTAATGCAAGACAACTCCTCACTTGTTCATGTAATAACTGTCATGTTTGGCAGTACCTCATCTTTGTAGCAGGAGATGATCCACTCTGGGAAAAAAAGTTCCAAGTAAAAGGATGGCAGCTCAGTTCCAGGAGCAGCTTTTTAGTCCATCAAACAAGCTCTTAACATGATGTAGTTGCTCCATCAGCTCAGTAGGGGCTCCGTCTTTGTCCAGCTTCTCTTTGATCTTTAGAAATGACAAGAGTAACTGTAAGGCGTTTATAAAAATCCATCTCTACAATCTCGTCCAAATTATGTCAGTAAGATATATTCCAGACACACCTTTCAATTAATTCATACCTATACATGAAACTCAGGTGTACTGTCCAAAAACATGCAGCGTAAAATGTTAAAAGAAACGGCAGGATTCGTTCAGCTTGTAAAGGCTTTTGCGGTGTTACATTTTGAAAAAGTACCACCCTGAACAGGAAACGACTGCTGAGCAAAGCAGAGGTAAATCAAAGGTCTCATTTCCTTTACAAGTGTCTTGTGACTGTTTCACAACTTCATCTGTGATGCTGGCATCAAGATGAACTGTGGAAAACCTCTGATCAGTTGTGCAAACTCCTTCATGACCACCACAATTGATCCAATATGAGATTCATATCTTACGACCTCACCTACTGTTGACACCACTGATTCAAATGCCAGCTTAAATTCATTTTAGCATTACTCATCTTGCTCGCTGTATCAGGCTGTGTCCTGGTTTAGATTTACCGTCACACACACACACAACACAGACCGTATGATTACTGTGAACCTTTGAGCCAAACTTTTTATGATTAAATTGTATCACAGTGTTAAAACTCAGACAGGCATCGTAACTAAAATATATTTAGAACAAAACCAGACGAGAGAAGCACCGACCTCGGTGAAGTATCGCTGTATGAATTTGTAGATCTCTCCGAGGGCTGCAGCTTCGTTGAACTCGTTTTCGTGTTTCTGAAATGAAAAGTCATCCAATAACTGCCGGTCTTCACTGTGCCAATTTTTTAAAGATGTTCTACAGAAATAGACATTACCTTTGACTCTTCCTGCAGGAATTCCTTGAATTCTGACTGTGTAATTTGTGACTGGTCTCTGATGTGCTTGTAGTAGGCCTTCACTTCCTGTTTGAACTTGGGGATGTCTTTGGCGTAGAGTAGCTTGTTGGTTGGTGCATGCTGAAACAACAATATTCAAGGTATAGTGCGACTCAAACTCCTAATTAAAGTTGATAAATAAATTAGCAACAATTAATACTCTTAAAAAGACTTGCTTGTGTAACCTCTTTGTGTAGCACAATGTATTTCATGATTTAAAAAAAAAAAAAAAAAAAAAAAACACCTCACATGCTACACTGACTTTTTTTAAAAACTTTTCCCGACATATTATACTATGACTTATTTGGACATACTACAAACTGTACTATGTCTGATAAACTCCCGACTCGCGTGAGATTCTCACACACGGGAGAGACCGAGTAGTTATCTCACAAAAAGAGGAACGTGGACAGCGAGACCAGAGCCTTTAGGAATGAACAGACTTCTTCCCACGGGCAGTTCAAAACCACTATGACTCCTATGTTCAGAGACCGTGGTGATTAATAAAAGCAGCAATGTGAAGCGCCGCTACGAGACAAAGTACTCTTTTGAGCAAACGCACCCACTCAATATGATCACAATTCAGTCAATTAAATTTTCTAAAATGAAGTACTTTATCTTAAGATGCACATTTTTTAAAAGCTTTCTGTATGTGTATTTTATTTGTTAATCCAGTCCTAATTTGACTTGAAATGAGAGAAGACAATTTATTTATTATTAGAGTATATATGTATGTATGTATTATAATTCATCCGGTTCAATTTGAAAACTGACAATAAATATTGTTGAGATATTATTCAATTGCACTTTCTATATTTGAAACTACAGTCAGTTGTTGACTACATACAGACGTTTAGCTGTTCATCCATATATATTGGATTCAATATATATGGTACTAAATCATAGCGCAAGTTAGACATTATTGTGATGTTCTGGACCTTTGCGTGAGGAAATTCTCTCTAAATGGACTCGCTATAGTGTGTCTTAAAAGTCATAAAGTAGTATGTTGATAAATGTCATAGTATAGCATGTCGAAAAATTAAAAAAAAAGTCATAGTATAATTAACCTTTCCTGCATATATATCAGGGAGGATCTGTTGCTGATTCCACCTCTGCCTCACGGCTGAACACGGAAAGGTCACGTGGGTTTCCTGTAATAGTAAATTATAAGACATTTGTCTTTTGCGTTACCTTTCCCAGCTGGGTCTCGCTGAGGGAGAAGGAGTCCATGAAGGCCTGAGCGATAACAGTTAGGCAGCTATCGAGTTGGGGAGTCTTCTCCACGTCAAAGACAAACTGGGGGTTTTTCAGGATATTAACCCAGAAGCGCAGAGGCAAACTGTAGACATGTCAGGGGAAAAAAAAAGTGTTTTAAGGGCAAACTTCTGTCCTAAAGATTCTCAAACTGTCCACAGTGCTTTGGATGATCCAACAATACCTGTTGGTCTTCCAGATGTGCAGGACATCTGGGTCGGTGATCTTCAAGGTGTCTGCCTGAGTGTCCAGGAAGTCAAAGAAGTATTTGATAGCTTGCGGGGCTCTGCTGTGTGGCATCCCCCAGATAGATCTGAACAGGTTCTCCACAAATGAATGCACCGCCACCTTAGAGAAGGAGAACAAGGTGATGTCATTTCCTGCTTTCCCCTATAGCTCACAGTAAATATATAAAGAGAAGTTTAAATTCCAAAATGCAGGTGACACGCAATCAACAGAGTGCCTGAGCGTATCCTGTGTCGACTCGAGGAGAACACAAATGACAAGCTTGGTATGGGTATTTTTAGTGTTGGTTCCTCTTGCCTTGGTAGAGAGCAGCTTGGTGAGATGCACCTCCTTCAGTTTTAACTTCTTCCTCTCTGGGTTCTTTCTTTGGTCCTTGTCTACATCAGGATCAATCTGCAGAAAAGAGCAAATAAAGAACCATTTAAGTTCCTCAATTCTTTTATAGTATTCAGTGATATACATGTGTGGTGATATGCAGACATACAACTAGATCTGCCTCTTACCAAGTGGAAGTATTTTCCCGAGAAGTTCTCATCGTCTAAAGGAAATGAACAGTGATTATAATAAGCCAACTTCTCTGCCATCCAGCAGTTGGTTTGGTGCTTATGGATTTATTAAAAAGGTGAAATATTCAACGTTTTTTCATGGATGGTTGAAACATTTTGTGGAATTTGCCATTTGTTAGTTTCACATGTGTACTGCCAGCTGAAAGTTGATTTGTGCCCCATCAAAACTAAAATAGAGGCCACAGTGCAGGTGGGGCAACAACACACAAGTCATATTGCTAAACCAAGATAATTCCCTTTCTGGCTCCATCTATATCTATAGAAGAGTGGTATTGATATTACGTGAGTTAAACAATGTTTTCCTTCTCTTCTCTTACCCTTCACACTTCCCTGCGGGCTCAGAGGATGACGACTTTTCCTCGAAAGCACTTTGATTGTAGCTCCATCAGGAACCTACAGGAGAACACAGACCAACACACATACAGGTGTTAATAAATGACAATAGGTTAGTTTGAGATACGCTGCGCCTGAATGGTGGACGAGAGCAGGAGGCGTTGGAAAAAAAGCTCCGGTCAAGCCGATCAGTTTCCAGCAGCCTTGAAAGAATAAACAGGAAGTCAAATAAACAGTCACATCCTGTTAGATCCCATCTGTAGGCTGCTTGTAGTTTACAGACCACGTTCGGATTTGTTTATGCATAAATATAAGTTTACGTGTATCTGGCATTGTATTCTATCCTATGCATTATAAATAAGCTTTACTAATATCAACCGCAAAAGATAAGTTTTTAGATTAAACCTTCATTGCACAGCATGAGACTAATAGCGTTAAATATTACAATTTCACAGAAAATTAGAATTTCTACTAAATCTGCTGTTTATCCAATCAGATCTTTCATCTGGCGACAGTTTCCCATCATACTCTGGGTCTAGCGTTCGTTGAAGAGCGACTGCTGCACCTGGCTCTGAAAACTGCGGCCACATCGATCTCGTGAGGTTATTGTTGCCCATGTGTGAATCATATCAGAGCAAGTCAGACATCAATCAATCCATCCATCCATCCATCCATCTATATACACACACACACACACTTTCAGTTTTACGTTTCACACATTTAACCAGAGAAACCACTCGGATAGACCCATGTGTTGCAAGGAGATGTTCAAGAAACATCAACCTTCAGGAACTTAAGAAAACCTCTTTATTTGCTCAATTCTACTTTCATTAAAACATCATTTTCTCCAGAATTGAGCAATACGTGCAATATCTATTGTTGCGTGCTTAACTAATCATGTTTTTTTAAGTTGTGTCGTGGCTTTGTGATATGGCTGATACTGTCCAGCCCATCAGTCATCTCTCACAGGCTCTGATGTACTCTGATAGATGATAGACACACAAAAAAAAGACTCCATGATCCAATCATGAAGCCATTAGCAACCACTCTTACTGCAGTAGGTTTCTGTTCTTCCTCTTGTAGAGCAAAAAGTCGGTCTTCTTGTAAGTTTTAATGACAAAGTGAGATGGGGTCTCTCACTGAGACGTGGTAGACCGACTCCGTTGTTCCAAATTCAATTCTGTTGTGGCCTACAGGCAGTGATTCGTCTTAACAGCACATTTCAAAGTAAGGAAAGCAAAAGTACATTTTTGTGTTCAGTCCCCAAACAACAGTGTGCAAGAAGTCCATACAGAGAAAGCTGGACAGTCATCCGATTATCTGCTTGTTCTTTTGGCACAACACCACATCGACCACCTTGGTGGGTTAGTGTGTGGCTATGTGTTGCGTCACCTTTCTCATGTCCTAAAACAGCTTCTTCTCGCTGCTTTTTGGGTCCAACGGCACGCAGAACGATGTAACCTTTTTCTGTCACATTAAAGCTGTTGATGTTCAAACTATCAAGTGAGGTATTTGGAGCCAGTTTCTGTTGGGCCGTCTTTCAATATTTATACGACAACCACCACAGAAAATACTTGCATGCTCGTCTCCTGCGGGCGGAGAGGGGAACAATAACACTCAAAGTGACACAGGCCCAGGCCTGCTGCTCTGCTCCCAGGTGGACTGGGATGAGATGCAGCGTTTCAGTGGGCGCGTTTTCCACTGAACACAGATATTTTAAATAATCCCATTCATCACCTTGTAGTGCTCGAGTGTGTTGAGCATCGTCACCTCCCCGATAACCTCAGAGCTCGCATCCACTTCTTCGAGAGCAACAAACAATCCATTCTTCTCATACTCTGGTGGGAATAAGAGAGCAGGTATGGTTAGACTGTGTGACAATAAAGACATATATATGCGACCTGTTTTTAAAGATCCAAGTTTTGTTTTTTTTAAATCAGAGGCTCAGTAATTTGCCTAAAACTGTAGTTTGCAGCAAATGTTATTCAAACAGGGGGAAATAGTACACTTATAATATACATTTGATGCACCACCTTCTACATAGACAAGACCTGTAACTGTAGGACCCATATATTGTTACCCACCGATACGAACGTCCCGGAGGTGGGTATTGTAGGGGAACCCAAACTTGGCCTTGAAGGTGGACAGGATTTTCTCTTTGACTTGCTCCACTGAGTCACAGCTGAGAGCGTTAACCTCCAGAGGCTCGCTGACCTCTCCGTCACTGCCCACTGCAAACAGCACCTTCAGCTTCTGTGAACAATACACAGAAACATGGGCAATAATTGACACGTCATTGTATTTGCTTATTACCGGCAATAACTCTCTCCTGATCTTTATAGCGATCCAAGATTTCAACAGCTATCTCTGAATTTATGTGCCGTCAGAAAACCGGTAAAATTAGCAATAATGCTCAAAGCCTCATTGAAACAACGGCTGTTTCATATTCTAACGCATGAGAGAAATACTAGAGATCCTCAGACCTCATCCTTCATTCATTGTTGGAAAGTATAACAGCTGCAGGGATCTTTGAGGAAAGGTGTGGTTACTGAAAGGCTTTCACATTTGTGTGGTACGAGTTAATGTATCATCACACCATCTTATTTCCTTTCTCTCCCCACACCCACACCCACACACACACACACACACTAATGGTTGGAAATGTGCAATAAAGTGAGTTGGTGGTTTGTTAGATTGCGTGTGGACTCACTGGCAGCAGCAGCAGAGAGAAGGAAATGTTGCAGAGGTCACACAGAGTGCAGAAGATGTAACAGAGTGAAGTGTTACATTACCAGAGCCAACTGGAGAGAACTCGGATAAATTGCTGTTGCAGGTTTACGGACATTTGCAGTTTGTTTGCAGGGTGTTCATGTGTTTTATGTGCTAAAATCTAAACGGCATTAAGACTTTGCAGGTGACATGTGTAGAAGTTAGTGACCATTTGTCAAATTATAAACATGTAGCTAGCTTACTGTCAAACATTTAATCCTGAGGGGGAAACATAAGTTGATTGGCAGGAATAACTGTTGTGGATTCTTAAAATATTGAGAGACTAAAACATTAAAGCCCCTGAAAAAAGTTGTGTGGGAAATGCTTTTTAGAAACGTTTTTGTTATATTTGTTGAAATTATCTTTAGTCAATAATAATTTATATTTCATATCAATAAATGAAAAACAAGAGAAAATAATCCGGTGTCTGAGGCTGTCGCAGGACTAGAATGAGCGCGTCCAATCATACATCTTGGCCTGAATGAAATGATTGGACGGGCTACCTGCCCGTCTACCTGCCTGTCCAAACTCTGCCCGTGCACTCATTGTGCGTCACCAGAGTCTTCCACAAGCTGCTAGCTTGACAGCTGTGAGTAACAATAGCCATGGTTGTCGTTTACGTTCATAATTGAATATTTGGGGGAGTGGCTTTGGAGGGAGGCCTGCAGGGACGGGCTGCGAGTGTTTCTCGCTAGATTCAGCAACTTTTGGAGCTGGTGCTGCTAGCTCCTGTCGTTGGATAAGAGTTGGCAACACCTGGCTGGGTTTTGTTAGATTATTTAGAAAACCTAGTGTACTCTTGCTAGTTTCTGAAGATTAACAACCCTAGCTTTAATCTCCATGATAACATTACCCAAATGATGAAATAACCGAGACAAAGTGCCAGCAACATCTCTCCTGCACTGAGGAGTAGAGTGTGTTCAAAGTGAGCTTAACATACTGTGTGTGGGTTCATTATGCTAAGGCGCTCCACTTCCTTGAATTAGTGTTTTCGTCAACACCAACTGTGAGTAGCTGCTTCCTGAAACAGGTTCTGTCACAGCATGAAATGGGATCTCTATATCAGGGTTACTCCTCATCAGAAGCAGCACATTCATGCCAGTAAAAGACTGTATGCAAAGTCTGTTCCATTTTAAAACTGGCTATGCTACGGCGGTTGAACATGTAACATTTGATTTAAATTTGGGGATGCATGCCAAAAAAACCTGGGCACTTTCATATACTAATAGGCTATTCATCATCTTAACACAGTATTTCCTGTCACCTTACTGAACACATCCCTTCTTGCCATAACTACACTTTCACTCTCATTTTTAGTGTTATTGTTTGACAACAAACAGACATTTCCTACCAAGATGATGAGATAGTACTGTTTTTCAGTTTCACTTGTGTTACCGAGTCGTAAAAGGTTTTGAAGTCTAAAGGACTAAATTGAGTTTCTCAACAAAACCCATGTTTATTAATAGTTAATGAATTAGTAATGTGATGTATATTTTTGTCTGTGTTTCTGAAACTATTTCAGAAGTTCTCTGTTGCGCAATGTCCAGGAAAGTAGTGTGCTCAAGATAACCTTAAAAGATGCAATAAATACAGCCGCGTCAAGCTTTTTAAATCTGTACTGCCTTGCAGAGTGCATGGAGGAGGAAGTGGTTCAGTACCAGCCGTTGTGCACTGACAAACTGCCGTCACACAGAGGATGTGCTACTTGGGTACAGCGGTGCGTTGAGCTAAATGCCAAAGTCCGCGTGCACGAAAAGTCTAAATGTGAATAAAGATCATTTATCTCTACAAAATCCCTGTTAGCCAAGCAATGGGTTTGGTGATCTGATGGTTGTATTTTTGCCAGTCCATTTCTGGAACTATTTCAGAACTTCTCTGTTGTGCAAACATCTGGTAAATTTCAAGATGAAAAAAAAAAAAAAAAAAACATGCTGTAAATAAAGCCAAGCTTTGCATGATTGAAGAGGCCTTAATATATCTGGAGGAGGAAGTGGTCCGGTACCAGCCGCTGTGTGCTTGACAAGCATTCATAAAACTGTCAGTGTGGCAAACGTGCTCTTTTCTGATTACAAGTGTGTGTGTGTTAGAAGCTTGGGGGGTACTGTGTTTATATTTAGTTAATATACAGAGCTTTAAGTCAGTACAGTTTTGTACTTACCAAACTAAAAAACAGAACTAAGAATAGGGAAGTGTTCATCATTGCTTTCCACATGTAAAAGCACACCTGACTACACTTGTGACATACTGACACAGAGCGATACACAAATGGACCAAAGAGTTTAGTATTTACTCCATGAGAATTCCACAAAATGACCTCTTGTTTGGACCCAAGTAATCAGCTCAAGTGCTAATGCCCTGAGGTGTAAAAAGAGTGTGTGTGTGTGTTTCTGTATACCAGGGAGGTGAAGTCTTGAGCCTGCCACAGCAGCCAGTCCTCGCTGAGTGTGTACAGAGCTTTCTCGGTCACGCAGTCCACAGGTCCTTTTGCCGTCTGCTGCGTGAGAGCGCTCACCATCAGGAACAGGTGCTGGCCAACACTTTCCTGCACAAAATCAGAAATGGGAACTCCAATGAGTCAGTCGGTCAAACGAAGAAGGCACAGAGGACGCGGTAACTTTGTGTGGAGCCCTCTGTGGTTTCAACCAGAGTGGGGAAATTTAATTTGTTGCATCTTTGTTTTTCCAACAGGTAGCATTATACATATGGATAGGAACATTGTAATTTACCCATTCGTTCATTTATATAGAAATAGGACGCTTTGCTTCTTCGAACAACAGCGCTCTTATTTTTGTGTCGAGCGTCAGCTTACATTTACAAACGCACCCTCTGATTCCATGTTACATCCGTAACCATGGCAATGTTTCCTTTAGGTCTGTAAACAATAGGATGTGGTTTATGAAATGGCTGAAGTCACTCTAGCTTCTGGGGTGACTGTATATAATTGGTAAATAGCCTGTTGGGACCTCACAGAAAAAAATGCCCTAACAAGATCTAATAATCAAAAGTCAATCACTGGACAGAGATGCTGCAGTCTGGTGCAACAACAAGCCAGTTCTGATACTTGTTCTCTCTGCTGTCATTTGATCGCCTTTCCTTTAGCTTCACAGAACGTGTTCCTGTTTATTTCACACAGTGTGTTTTGTCGACATGCAAGGAGGAGACTCAAAGGGTAAAGACAAAACAAAGAGACTACAGCCGTGCTAACAGCTCTATGGCTGCACTTCAGCTAAATGCAAATGAGCTGAATCCTAATGTCAGCATGCTCACAATGTTAACATGGCGATGTTTAAAAGGCATCATGTCTACCATCTCAACATTTGCTAATTGTGAATAAACACAAATTTCAGCTGAGGCCGATGGGAATATTATTAGTTTTGCAGGTATGAGAGTATAAATCAAAATGTATGAGAAATGATTATTTTGACCTGATGGTGGTGCAACATGAAAGTCATGGGATCTCTAAAGTTATTATAGTTCAGTAGTGGACACAGACTGACAGACATTGCCTTCTAAAAGCTCTTGCTTTTAAAGTAGCTGCACTTTTCCTAGAAATTGTATAGAACAGCAAAAACTAAAAGAGACGCAAGAGCAACTGACCCTGAGGAAGCCGTAAAGGCAGATGGACATCCAGTTGGTCAGCAGTTTCTCCACGGTGGACTCAGTGCGTCGTAGCAGCAGTTTGGGCTGAGCGTTGCTGTTCTGCTGAGTCAGAGACTTAAGCAGAGCCTCCATCACCTCCGTCAGGTACGACAAGTTGTTGTGGAGCGCTACGGTCAGTAATGAAGCCAACACACACCTGGAGTAGATAAAGGTGAGGAGACAAGAGAAGGCAGGGACAGGATACAGGATGCAAGTTCAAACACAATACAGAGGAAAAGGAAAACAGAAAAATAACGTGCAATAGGAGATGGGAATAGAGTACGGTCGACTTTGTCAAGCAGAAAGACTTACAGCGACATTTTACTACACTTCAGACATCTGTTGCGCAATAGTGCATGCAAGAGACGATCACACACTGCAAAACACCACAAACTGACTTGTCTTTGAGAGTGAAGCTCTTCTGCTCTTCCAGAGCGTGCACCATAGATGTGAGAAAGAGCTGGTCCTGGAGCAGCCTGGACACACCCTGGCAACATTCGTCAAGCTGAACCTTCACCACATCCTGATTTCAGGTCAGATACAGCAACATATCACCGACAGTTACAAAGTGGTACCGACATCAACAACAGCTGGCGTCAAACCCTTACCTGACCAATGTCTTTGATGCACAATGCCATCAGAGATTCACTCTGGAACAAAAAAAAAAAGGTGGTTTTGTTAATCTGGCAATGATATTACTACATGTAGATCATATTTGATAGCTCACAGTTCACAGCATCAGTTTGTATGATTGTTTTCCAGCTCCTATGTACCTCTGGAAAAAAGATCCTGGAGGCAAAGTGCTTGTAGTCCAGGAAAGGAATCGCTCCAACGGTTTCCATCAGGTCAGTTTTCTCTGTCTGCAGATCCACAAAACCTGTGGAAGACAGCGAGGCTGCTTTTATGGACGATAGACGTGCGTGTGTGTGTGTGTGGCTGAACCTGGCACGTCTGGAGAAAACACCTTGTACAGAAAAACAAACAGATTCCATATAGTTCTCTTAAGTGTCAGGTAAAAAAGCTAAATAGTGAAGCAAGCGTCAGTTTGCAGGTCACAAGCAAAAAGACAAAGTGAAACTGGCTGGTGCTGCAAATCACCAACTGTTCTTACACGTCTGCAGGCCAAATGCAGATTACTACAAATAAGGCCTGTGCGAGCGTATGCGTGTTAACATGTTTCTTTAACACCAACCGTGTATCTGTGACAAGTACCTGTATAGCAACAGAAAAAGGAACCAGTTCAGGGCATTTCACTTCATAAAAAGGAACTGTGTGTGTCGAGGCTGAGTTATCTATAGATAGTACCGTGGAGTGGAACAACTCAGGGCCAGTGTATGATAAGGTGGAGCCGTTTGTCTTGTCACAATCAGATACAGAAACTACAATTTGTAATTGCCATGCTGGCAGCTCTGTGAAGCTGCAGTCAGGCACAGTGGTACATGCCAACAAGCTGACGTTTAGCAGGTATAATCTTTACCATGTTCATCATCACAGTTTGACGTTATAGTATGCAGACATTCACGAACTAGCAATAAAAACAAAATAGAGCTGAGGCTGATGGGAATGTTGTTAGTTTTGCAGGCATTTGGTCATAAAGCAAAGTATTGGACAAATTCAAATTCCGATCTGTTGATGGTGCTAGATGAAAAGTTAACAGAGAACTCCACAAATTTAGCATTGCACTCCTACGGAGATCCACACATCCTTTTTCCTTGTCAAAACCCGGCGTCTACGTCACCCACAATGCAACTCGAGAGGAGACAGTTTGGTCAGAGTCAGAGATTTGGGTGCGTTATGCTAGCAGCCGTTATTGTAGCCTGGAGCCACTAGCCTCAAACAACAAAGAGGAGCAGGTTACAGAGGTCCGTCTTCTATGCTTTCATCCCTGCAGATCTTTTTAATTTTCAAACTTGTAGTCTTCAGTCCCAAATGACACTGACTCAGGAGACATCACTTGAGGCAATTTATCAGATTTCACACAGCTCCCTTTGGAAACACAAAGGCTTTGTACAACTTTAAAAAAAGGGTATAATATGCAATAATTTCCTAAAAAAACAATGTATAGACTGATACAAAAATAATGAATGTCTTTACCATATTTCATGGCAATACATCCAATAGATAAGACATTTCACTAAAAATAAAAAATATTCTAAGTCATGGCTGTGCCAGAGGGAAAGTCAGAAGATCACCAATCAGTAGGACTCATCCTCTTGGGACCATGAATGTCTGTAGAAAATGCATTGACAATCTGATGGTCTAATCTAGTAGCTGTTGAGATATTTTAGTCT